CTGTCTCTATGCTTAAATAATCAACTAAAGAAGCTGCTGCTAGAAGAGAACTCTTGGTAGTTTCTTATTTTTGTAGTAGGAAAAAAGGAAAGCAAATTCTGCAACACACAAACACTCAAAGTAAACTTTATCACAGGTTAGTTTCAAAGCGGGTCAGTTTAGCTGATTAACACTTGCATGGACAGTCTCAAAAGAAGGCTCACAAGAAACTGTGAGATGAAGGACTGATGAGTGGTGTGCATGTTTCTACACAACAGCAGCTTATTTCTGTCAGAGCAAAACTCCTCTGAACTCGTACTTTAGAGCAGTATGCCCGTATTCTTATTCAGAGTTAACATGGCCTTAATTCATTCTAACTCACTTAATGCTGGTTGGGAATGAAGCTAAACCATGCTAAAATGAATATAATTCCAAAGAGACAGTTTTCACACAGGGGTTTCTTTCCCTGTGACTTAGCTAATCCTCTTAAAATTCTTAGATTTTTATTAGCTTAAGTTTGTATTCTTGACCGTATCCATATAAATTAGATGCAGTTTACTCTGAGCTAAGATGGAAATAAATAAGAATAATAAAAGTTCACATGCACTAGTTTGAAAAATTAATTACCTTCCAATTTCTAATGAAGATTAATTCTCTGACTTTAAAGCTCAGTGTGGAAGAGAACGGTTTGAAGCTTCCAATTACAGCAATACAGACTTCAAGCACATTTCAAAAACATAGCAAGTTGTAAGAATACTTTGGTCTGCGTGAGAGAAAAAATATTTACTGCCAACTAAAACGTAGCAAGTTGAAATGTCTGACTTCTACCATATGCAGCACAGTGGGACCCAGACTGAGTGAAGTGTGTATATGGCAGACAGTCTGTACACATAACAGCAAGGACTATTCAAGCCATGTCTTTCTGTCTTACTGTTACCCATTGTATTTTACTAGAATTTCTATGCACTCTTATTAAAATATATTAAAATATATCTACACAATATTGGCAATTATTCTAGAGTCAAGAAAATTCTGTCATTTGTAAAAATCAGTAGGTGAAGTTTTATGACTAATGCTACAACCATCAGCTACTGAGAGATATTATCTTTGAAAGTATCAGCTAAAAAGTTTGCTGGGCATGGAGCAAGTCTAGCCAACAAATGGACTCACATGAGCCTTTGCAATGCTTGCTTATCAGCTCCATGGTGTATCAGTCTCCAAAACAGCCTCCAGTTTTGAAAAAATCCTTCAGCAGCAAATGGGTTTGGTTTTTTTCATAGCTCCATTCTATCTTATTTGCTGATGTTTATTCCACAACTAAGATTTCGCCTAGCAACTCTTAGCCCAAATATCCTAAGGAATGGAAATACCACTATTCTCTCACAGAACCGAAGCTTCCTTCTGCTCAAGGAAAATTGCACTCTGTAGAAGAAACAGTGGGAGACACTCGGTAGCATAATGCTGATACTGCCATGGGTACTGCTTTGCAATTTATTTACCTGATATGCCTATTGAAGAACACCAGCAAAAGCAGCTGTGATTAACAACCTGTTATGACGATCTCAATTTAGTTACAGGGGAATGTTGTGCACAGTAGACAGTCACAATACCAACAGCAAGCCTAAAGCCCTTCTATTGCCTCTTAACCATCAGACATCCATCTGATGGTCATTTGGGCAAGGGTAAGTTACAAGAAAATGGAAACAGAATCTTACCTTCTGGCCTTTGATCCCGGGTGGACCTGGAAAGCCTATGGGGCCTGGATCACCCTGTACGACAAAAACATCCAGAAACAATATGCTTCACTGGAACATGGCACAGGCCTATAAACATGTAGGACTTAATATCTTCTCTGCATTCTTGGACATTTACTATGAAGAGGTAGTTGCTGTTGTTTGATTAGACATAGATTTTTAGTGGATTTTTTATAGGAAGAAAACTGAAAAGCCAACAGTTCCTCAATTGTGATCACCACGTACAATGTGTCTGCTCCTGCAACATGGCCAAATCGTGGCTAAAACAGTCTTAGTTCATAACCTCACAACATTTACTTTTAACCAACATAAATGGGAGTGAAGAAGCTATACAATTCTTGAGGTAATCCTTTCCTCTAATTAATATATGTATTTAACTATTACTCTTTATTGTTTGTATTACTGCTATGCCAACAATCCTCAGCTAAGAACTAGGACACCATCATGGTATGCACTGCACGCAACACAGCACAAATCTAATCTGTGTAAAAGGCAACTTGAAAGATGCATAAAAGCAAAACTGTTATGGTGGAATACATCTATTCTCATCAGGTAATTTAAACTTCACAACTACATGATGGCAGATGGGAATAAGAATTAGAGCATTTAAAATGTTAGGGAAATGGAAAAAGATGCAAATTTTTATGGTTGTTGCAGATAAGGAAGTAAGAAAGGTTGTTTCAGCTCTTTTTTCCTCGCTCAGGAGCGAAGAGATTAATTCCTTCAGGATTAATGCCCAAATTCATATTCAGTGAGTCAAGAAATGGATCCTGGAAATGAGTTAGAATCCAAATAAATTTAACTCCATTAATTAGGGCAAGAAATTTAAACTGGGGGGGAGGGGGAAATTATGAATGCAAAATAGCATGAACTATAAAAATGCAGACCGATACCATATTTTTGGATTATAGATGCATTCCAAGTGTATTTAGGTGTAGTCATACAAATATATGAGTGAGCTTTAGACTGTTCTGTGACTGCTTGGGTTCATGCCAAAGAATATAGCTTGAGTTTCAAGGAGACATGTACACCCAACAACACTATGATTAGATTGCCAAAAGCAAAAGCTGGTTAGATTAAAATAATGTTACTATTTCCACAAAAGCTGCACTTCCATTTCCCATTAGTGCAGATGCATTTCTGAATTTCTTCTCAGCAGCCCTTTAATGCTGACAATATATACTTGTGAATTTTAGGGTTTGACAGCATATATTGATAAAAATTAAGTTATTTTATGTACACATCAGCACTAAACAGCAGTTACTTGCTAATGCTTTTTTCATTACAGACAGTGGTCCTGGATTGTTACAGTGCTTTCTACTTAGCACAAATATTCCATAATTGACCTAGTAGAAAATGCTGTTAATAAAATATAGCATAAATACAAGATATTCTAAAAGATGTAGCAGAGCCTAACACATTAGAATGCAAACATCCAACTGTATTTTAGTGTTATCACATTAACTCTAAAGTTCCATGTATAATGGCCAGTCTCTTCGCGAACGAAGAACCGGGGAAGGTCTTTCCACCTTCCAGCCTGCGCATTGGATTTTTTAGGTGAGACACAGTGTGCACGGAACTGAGCCCACCCTTTAATCCTGAGGTTCATCTGCCGGGGCCAAGCACGCTTGGACGGTGGCAGCGAGGTCCTCAGGACGTAGATGGATTG